TTTCTCAATAAAGTTTCTTTTGAATCAGAAAGTGGCATTAGTTGTTTTGTTCATGAGTGGCTGTTCAGGTTCATTTCTGTTTCACATCAAGAAGTCTTGGAATAGTTACACTAATGACTATGCCTTACAGGGTGCTTATAGTTAAAATGAGATTTGGGCCAATCCCCTAAACATATATCAACTTATGGCTTGCGAAAAATTCGCCTGTCTTTCTCTGCTTTCCAGATGGAGAGAGATTGTGCCAAGTCAAATTCCTCCAGTGGTCTCCCTTCAATGGAGATCATCATAAGGCGACTCAGGGCTGCATCTTCAATTCTGTTTCGTGATTTGCTTTTTATAAGGTTTTGTTTAGAGAACCCCCTTTAACAATCTGCTGTGTGTATTGGCAAAATTAAAGCCAATTCAGCCAGAGTAATCAGATTTGGAACGACATCTTTGTGATTCTGATACATTATCTTCTAGAGCAAGGACATTTTGTCACGAGGTTACTTCTGCTGCAGTACTAGACGCTTGGCAATGCTCCACTCCCTCCTACATGCTGGACCATCAATTACAGCTGCAATAACACCATTCTCTGTTTTCTGTTGTTTTTTTTCTGTAGTGTTCTGTGAGTATTTCTAGCTTGTCATTGCCATAATCATCAATTACTTCCCTTGGCACAAATGATAAGGACCTGAGAGTTAATACTTCAAAGGCCGAAACAACATTCATGCTCTCCTTTGGAAACCTCTTCTGAAGGTTGGATTCAAGAGCTTCAACAAAGTCAGCTTTGACTTTCTGCACAGTTAATATTTGACTTGCACTCACTTTAACCATGTGTTCTTCAAGTGTAAACTCAGATCCCTTCAGCTTCTCTTTGAGGTCTTTCTGATGTTTCCCTTGTTCACAAGCTACCTTGATGCGCTGAACAGTAGCATCAACAACTGGGGATACTGCTGCCAGGTCAAGGTCCTGCTTCTGAAATACCAGGTTTAGTTGGGTGGTGATTGGAATTATGTCAATGAGGAAATGAGTGATTCCAATAAATTCATATTCAGTGATCTTCTTTACAAACCCTTTGGCCTTGGCATCTGATTTTGCATGTGATGCAAAATATGTAACAAGTGCACCCCATGAATGATAAATAGCATAAAGAGCATTGTAGAAGGAAAACCAACGTACACTGTGGACTTCTTTTATTTTAAGAACATCACTTTCAAGAACTTCCTGTACTTTCTTCAAACCCTGTGAACGCTTTGCAGACTTACTGAAGTAATAATAGATGTCAGTAATGATCTGCTGATAATTCTTCAGTTTCGCAATGTCAGAGGCAGCCTGACTCGTGCAAAGAACAAGTCGGTGTCAAGACAATGTATATTTACAAGCATTGAGTTTTCCTTCTTCATTAATGTACTCATTCCGCCCTTGTCGCCTGTCGTGACTGAAGCCCCATCGCTTCCTAATCCAAACACTTTGCTTAACACAGGAGGGGGAACATGATTCTCCTTTAGGACAGTTTTCAAGCAATCCAGTATAGCTGTAGCCTTTCCATCTGACAGGTCAGGATTCTTTACGAACCGAGTTGTAAGAACAAAATCGTCAGTCATAAAACAAACGTAAACAACAAGTTTCCAGTTTGTCAACGTTTGGGCACCAGCAGTTTCATCACTGAACCAAATTTTCTCGTGGCCACATTTTCTTTTGCAAGCCAATAGGCTGTTTTCTGTGCTGTAGTGATAGCTTCCTCTTGAAGGGTGACCGCTCTTGCCATGGCTCGTTTGAGATCTGTCTGCATGTTAGAAGCCAATAATGCATTTCTGTGCTCAGCGCTCTCAGCGTGTCTTGTGAGTGACGAAGCTCTGAAGTTCGTGCATCCAGTAGTAAAAGAGGACTGCTTCCCAAAGCAGATACACAATTCACATAACATCCCCTTCTCACTGTCGTGTTTCAACCAGCTGTAGTCGCTCAACCACCGAGTATTAAACTTCCTCTCGTAACGTAAAGAATTTGGTTTCTGTGACTTATCAGTCGCTTCTTCATCACTTTCATTTTCTTTCGATTCTTTTTCTTCCAGTTTACTGTCCACTGCTTCTTTGTTTGTCGAGAAAAAACTCGCGATAGACCTTGTTGTCGAAGCGGGAAATCGTCTATTGCGAGACGCCATCATGAATACTCATGAGCACTTTCGATGCTACAGCACTAAGTCGAGGCTATATTGTGTCCAGGCTACTCACCGTTATGATGCTGAATTATTTCACCAGGCGCTGATTGATCGAACATGCAGTCTGCTCTTTGGTGTTGTTCAGTTTGGAACTGTTAAGGATGGCTTTTAAAATACTATAGCTGTGTTAAATCTGCAGCCTTGAAAAGGAAGGGGCCAAATTGGGATTCCCGCAATGGCGCTGTCTGGTGGAAACACTGCCCTCTGGAAAGGAATGAATTGTCGTTCTGGTCTTGAAAATGCCGCAAATTTTCGTCCTTTGTTTTAAAGAAATAACGCTCAAGAC